ACCTTTTCTAAATAGGTGCAGTTCCCTTACCGGATCCCTCACTCACTCAAACACACACACAAAACCATTTTTCTCCATTCAAATTCGGATCCTATAAATCAATTGCTCTGTGAAACATCTGTGAAAAAAATTCAGGTGCTCAGGCATGAAAATGTGCCGCTCAAACACGATACCTTTCCGCACACACTGAAAAAAAATTAAAACATTGGAGCTCACTTAAAGTGGGAGGCGCTGGCTTAGAGATAATGCCTAATGCAGATAGTCCTCGACCTACAACAGTTCATTTAGCGATTGAAGTTACGACACTGAAAAAAGTGACTTATGACCATTTTTCGCACTTACGACTGCTGCAGCATCCCCAGGGTCACATGATCAAAATCCAGACCCTTAGCAAGCCACTCATATTTATGACGGTCAGTGTCCAGGAGTTGCGACCTTCTGACAAGCCAAGTTGACAGGGAAGCCAGCTTCCCTTAACAACCGTGTTACTCACTTAACTGCAATGATTCACTTAACGACTGTGGCAAGGAAGATGGCAAAATGGGGCAATTTAACAACTATCTCGCTTAGCAACACAAATGTTGGCCTCCATTGTGGTAAGTCCAGGACTACCGGCTATACATGTTGAGTTCCTGATGGCATCAAGGCCGTACCTGATTCCTGCCTGTCGGTCGGAAAGAAGTGAAGGAGAATTCAAAGAAAGTTGTCCTAGGACAAGGGGTGTCAGCCTCAATTGCATTGAGGGCCGCATCAGGGTTGTGTTTGATATCACAGTGTGTGTGTGTGTGTGTGTTGGGATGGGCGTGGCCAGTGTGGACCAATGTCACTCATGTTGGTGGCACCTATAGTTCTGCGAGCGCTCTGCCGGCAAAAACGGTCTCATGAGCTCCGTTTTCAGCTGCGACAGCTTCCTGCAACCGCCTGCCAACGAAAACGGTGCTCCATTTTTGCTGGCAGAGGCACCGCGGGCCAGGCTTTAGCGGTTTCCAAGCTGGTCCCAATGCGCCAGATCTAAGCACCCTACAGCAGGCCGGATCTGGCCCCGCGGGCCTTGAGTTTGACACTCCTCTCGTAGGATCTCTGGGGCAGAGCAGATTCCTGAGGGGAGCAGTAACAGTTCATGGGGAGGGTGGAGGTGGGGGGTTGCTCTCCAGAATGGAGAGCTTGCAAATTGCTCAGCTAAAGGGGTTCACAATCCTGATTCCCCCCCCCCCCAACAGAACATGCACACATTATGTCTTCGTATCTAAGCAGCATTTGGCCCGTACGGACACAGAACCAGCGCATTCCAGCAACCGCTCGCCCTCCCCTCACCGCGGCACGTACTTGATGCTGTCCGTGTGCGTTTTGTACTCCATGATGGTGTTGGGGGGAAGGTTGAGTACGCGTCGTAAGGTGTCCCTGATCCGGGCCGTGGTGGCTTGGTCGCTGGCCGTCTTGTTCCATATGGAGATGATGTCCTCCTGCAGGGGGAAAACAGTCAGGAGACGATTAAAACGGTTGCCTTTGGGACAAGCGTGCCCTGGATGACTGAGGATCTCCACCAGTGGTGGGTTCCGGATGCCATTTCAACCATTGGAACGGGCCTGGCGGCGTCCACATGAACGCGCCAGCGCACATGCCCATGCGTCTTAGCGCCTCTGCGGCTCTCCAGCTGCTCCACGGAGCGTCACGCAGGCACTGTATGCACCATGAACGTGCACAGAAGCACGGAAGCCTTAAAAGACTGGTAGGAGCTTGCGGGTGCCCTCCGGAGCATCGAACCGGAATGGTATCCGGTGCTCCAGGCAGCCTCCGGTACGCCCGTACCAGGGGGTACTGCCTGCAACCCACCACTGATCTCTACAGACGTTTAGCTAATACATTTTGGGATGAACGGCCTTCGAATGGTGTGGGAGTAGGAATGGATTTTCAGAGGAAAGAAAGTGCAGACTCAAGGAACCAGGACCACCACTTGGGTGACCCTGAGGGCATGGATAAACCTCCAGGTGGCCTCAACGCTCTCTAAGAGGATGCAAATGACCAGCTGCCTGCAAGGAGTATCCATCCTTCCATTCCCCACCATCCAGTCAGAATGGAAGAAGCTTCTTGGATGAGAAGAGAAACGTCTTCAAAAGAAAAACCAGAAAATCTAGTTGCCTCTTGAAGAAAGCACTTTTGGGACTCCAAGTGGCCTGAACGACACTAAAAGGATGCAAATGACCTGCTTTGTCTGCAAGAAAAATAAATCCTTTCGTTCCTCACCATCCAGTCAGAGCTGAAGAAGCTTCTTGGATGAGAAGAGAAACGTCTTCAAAAGAAAAAACCGGAACAGTCCAGTTGCCTCCTGAAAAAACACCTTCGGGACAGGACAGCCCTGTGCTCAGATTGGCAGCCGCTTCCCGTTAACTCACCTGGAAACGGACAGAGACGACGGCCCCGCAGATTTCTTCCCCCACCATAAATTGTTCTCCCAGCATTGCTAGAATGAGGTTCTCCCAGCACCGAGACGCCAGGCCCTTCCGCAGGCGGATAATCCACTTGCCCCCATTCTTGTTGGCATCGTCCTGGGAAGAGGAGGAGGAAGAAAATTAAGGGTCAACCTAGTACGGACATGAGAGTTAAGGCTGCAGAGAGCCCAGATGCCGCACTGATTTGGGGGGGAGGGATGTCTGTGACAAAACAAGACAATTCTTCTGACAGGGGGCAGGACAAGAAACAATGGTTGGAAACTAATCAAAGAGAGAAGCAACCTGGAATTAAGGAGAAACTTCCTAACAGTGAGGGCAATTAACCAGTGGAACAGCTTGCCACCGGAAATTGTAGGTCTTTGTCACTGGAGGTTTTAAGAAGAGACTGGATGTCCACTTGTAGAGGGTCTCCTGCTTGAACTGGCTGGACTAGAAACCTCCAAAGTCCCTTCCAGCTCATTCACTTCTTCAGCAGAAGAAGTGCCTATTCCCTCATTTGGAAACTTGACACGTGAAAGAGGGCGCCAGTTCCAATAAGCTGCATCAATTTGGTGTAGTAGTTAAGGTGCTGGCTGAGAAGCCAGGAAATGAGTTCTAGTCCTGCTTTAGGCACAAAAACCAGCGGTGTGACTGTGGGCCAATCACTCAGAGAGGGTGAGTTCTAGTCCTGCCGTAGGTATGAAACCCAGCTGGGTGATACTGAGCCGATCACCAGGAGATGGTGAGTTCTAGTCCTGCCTCAAGCCTAACAGCCGACGGGATCCCCATGGGCCAGTTGCTAGGAGATGGTGAGTTCTAGTCCCGCCTTAAGCACGAAAGCCGTCTGAGTGACTTTGGGCCAATCACTAGGAGGTGGTGAATTCTAGTCCCGCCTTCAGAATGAAAACTGACTGAGTGACTTTGGGCCAATCACTAGGAGGTGGTGAATTCTAGTCCCACTTTAGTACGAAAACTGCCAGGGTGACT